TTTGAGGTACTGGATGGTTTCTTCAAAGCCTTCTCTTCTCCAGGCTGAACAACCGCAGCTCTCTCAGCTGTCTTTATAAAAGATGTGCTCGCTCCATCGCTCTGAACATCTCTGTGGCCCTTCTCTGGACCTGTTCTAACAGGTCACTGTCTTTCTTGTGTTGAGGACCCCAGACCTGGATGCAGTGCTGCAAATGGGGTCTCATAGGAGTGGAGTAGAGGGGAAGAACCATTTCCCTCAACCCGCTGTTCTCTCTGCTTTTGGTACAGCCCAGGTTGGCCTTCTGGCTGTGAGTGCCCAGCATTGGCTCAAGGCCAGCTTTTCATCCCTGAGAACCCCCAAGACCTCCACAGGGCTGCCTCAATGACTTCACAGTCTGTACTCAGATCTGGGATTGCCTCCATTCAGGTGCAGCACCTTGCATCTTGTTGAACTTTATGAGGTTCACATGGCCTCACTTCTCAAGTTTGTCCAGGTCAAGAATGAGAGGGAAAAAAACCCCACAGCAAATGCAGCCAGAAAGAGGAATGAAAATATGCAACAACATCACTGCAAACACTAAGGTACGTGCACAAGAAGGGGGAGGAGGTGTTCCAAGCACCAGAACAGAGATTCTTCTGCAGCCCGTGGTGAGGCAGCTGTGTCCTGTAGCCCTAGGAGATCCATGGTGGAGCACCTACAGGCTGTGAAGGAACTCACGCCAGAGGAGGTGGATGCCTGAAGGAGGCTGTGACCTTGTGGAGAACGTGCATTGGAGCAGGCTTCTGGCAGGACTTGTGAACCTATTTCTTTGTAACATATCAAAATCCTTCTTACTTGTCTTTGTAAATAAAATTTTTCTCTTAGCCTCAATTGCCTCTTCCTCTGATTACAGAAATTCTCACATCTTTCATTTATTTTCCTTGCTGCTCTTCAATCAGCTGAAATTACCTGTTACTGTGACCACCACACTGMTTCTTTCAAATATATTGAGAAACATGGCTTTGAATCCAGAGATAACAAGGGATACACAAATTGAGGATAATAAGCCAAGGCAGAGTGTAGCGATGAGTTCTGCCATTGAAGAAAGTAAAATTAAAAGCTATTGCAAACCCAAAATGGATCATGAGCAGCTATAAACAATGAGTACCTCATTGCAATCACTTTCCAGCAATTTTTATCAGGAAACACACACTTGAGTCATTCTGACTCAGAGAGATGTCCTGTTCTCTGATGAAATCTTAAAAATTATATTCGGGTTCAACAGAGAATCCTGTCTCTTAAATAACTAAAATACTTTACAGTTGGCCCAGAAATTTCATTTCAGGATTAGTGAACCCTGTTTTGCCCATCAGGGTAATTTACCTCAATTTTGTCCACTCAGAGGTGGTTTTATCTTAACAGAAATGAAAGAAAAAAATTCCACTTTGGTCACTTAAGAGAATCTATTCAGTGAGTAATTTTGACATGAGTAGTGACTTAGCACTGAGGATTTTAAATCCAAATTAAGCCTCGTTCTTTCTTCTCATTATCATTTTTAGCTTATATCTCCAGCTCAGGAAAATTTTCATGAATATGCTGCTAATATTTGTAATTGCATTAATATTCTAGTATTCCACCAAAATAATTTCAAATGGAAATACACTGAAGCATTTTGCAATATTCTGTAAGCTTTATTTCATTAAGGAGGAAGCTTCATTTATTAAGGAAGCTGTGGCATCTGTAACAGTTCCATTATGTTTCAAAATGATGTTTCTTTATCTTTGGTTCATATTTATGTTCTTCTTCTTAACTTTTTCTTCTTTTTTTTTTTTTTTTTCAATTATGGTTGCTTGCAAGTATGTAAAAAGCAGGCTTAGTGACAAGATTATGATCTGCATGATTTGCATTAAATATTTTGCTGAAGCATCTCTCTCCTTTCTGCATTCAGAGCACTTTATAGTACTTTCTGTAACTGCAATGAGGAGTGGGCCCACTTTTGTGGGGTTTTGGCTGTATAAAAATCGGTTGCTGTATCAACTTACCAGGAGAGATTGGGGTCATATGCCACACTACTGCAAACTAGCTGTGAGCAGTTTGAGAATGTAAAAATATGCTGTTATCTGCTTTGCCCAAAGTACTTCTGTACTCKGAGTAAACTAAGCAGTTATTTCTAAACTAAATGGCTCAGGCAAGAAGCAGAAGTGTAAGAATCATGAGCTCTATGAGAGCAACTGCAACAATTTACAAATATTGAGGAAAAATGAATGTGATGTTTAAAAAATCTAACATTTTATAAAATTAAATTATAATAAATCTAGTCATTTTTCTATATGAAAATTCAAAGATCTCCCACTAATTTTTTTTTTAATTGTGTTTTTATTACTAGTACTATTCATCACGTGTTTTTGGACAGAGTCAGGAAATGGAAGTGAAYAATCACAAAAGCTGAATGAGAAGAAAATACATCCTTTTCCAAGGATATCTCAATAAACATAATGGAAACTTCATTTTGTGCTTTGAACCAATTATTTTGTAAGCACAGTCATTATTTTCAAGTCATTAGCTTCATTAAACTAACTTTGCTTATGATTAGCTCTGTAAGTACAGTAATATCATGTAGTTTACAAAGATCTGAAGCTTTTTTCTAAAGCATGAAACATGCATTTAAAAAAAATAAATTTCATTCAYTGAATGGCAGTTTTTCAGGAGCTAACTTTTAAATGGTTTCCGTCGGTGGTAAGAGATGGAAAGACTGTCCCCTTGTGGATAGGAATATGAGGAAAAGGGATACTGCAACTCAYTGAGAGCAGCAGTAACCCCGGGTATTTAGAGTCTCATTAGGAATTTGGCTAGAATCCTGCCTTGCACATGGCTCACAAATCAACACTCGAATGTACAAAATGTTGTGAGGAGCCTTTTTATTTAAATTGGTTGGCCTGACAGACAGCAGAGGGTAAAGAYTGAGCTCATGTAGCATCCTTGTTAGCACCATCAGTCCAGGCTAACACGTAAATCTAACTGCTGCAGGCAGCTGCAGCACTGCMTGCATTTGAAGAAAGCTATTTTGAGAAGGACAGCCTCAGAGCAGACAATGGGAGAAGGCTCCACAATAAAGACAAAGCCTTATGGTGTATCTATTAAACACTGTGCTACCCACATGCGTGCATCTGCCCAACCCATGCTAGACCATCCATCTACAGGACACAGCACTATTGTCCTCGCTCCAGCAGCCTCTCTGACAGAGGGACTGGAGCAGGATTGATGCTCATCTGGCTGGAGACACTTGTCTGTGCCTGCACATGTTACAAGATCTGTGTCAGAATTCCCCATACACATCATCACCCTTCACCCATGAGAAATACCAGAAGATGCCAGCACCCCATCTTCCCTCACATCTGGGGTAAACAAGGGTAACTTCAAATTTCTGCATGAGAAAGCAGAACTTCATAGGGGTGCTGAGATAGAAGGGAATCTTTCTTATAGGAAGTGYTCTGGTTTATGAAATCCAGTCCTTCCCCATTGCAGGCAGTTACACCCACCCCCCAATTCTTCTTGTTTTGCCTTTATTAAGAACTTTTTCCCTATTATCCCAACTGCAAGAATTATCTGAAATATCACTAGAAAGCTCAGAATTTTTGGCTTAGCCATATTCATGGTCAGTGTATATCTATTCACTATATTATTCTTTATTTTAAGCAGCTTTTTTTTGCCTCCTTACAGTTGAATCCCTGGCAAAGGGTAACCATATTACCTCCTAGCCTTTGTTTTGCTGAACTAAGCAAGCCACATGCCTCCTGCTATATTGTACAGGCCAGGCTCCCAAAACACCTTCATGGTGTGATGATGGGATGCAACACATGAAAGTGTCCTGTGGACTCAAGMTTTTCCACCAACAGTTGCTCAATTCAGACTCATCAATACACAACCTTACTCTATCCCTAATGGACACACTTTAACTGATGCCCTCTTTTCTAGTGTTGGAGTTTTTTCAGTCACTTCTCAGAGCTCACTCCTAAAAAGTCACACCTCAGTTGCTGATTTCATCTGTTTTTTCCCTTCTCATTATTCCCCAGCTTGTAGCAGAAATTCCCATTCCTCCAGCAATGAAGGAACCTGCAGTGACTGAGAAAYAGGTTGCTGACATCCTTTGGAGATTTTTGACCACAATGTCCTAGAGGTTACTAAGTCTAATACTGGCAAGCTCAGGTTTGTGTGAAGGGTGAAGGGGACATATCCTGAAATAATACTTGGCTTTAGATAAGATGATATTTGTGGAGTCACCATCCCTTGAGGTATTTAAGAGGTGTCTGGATCTGGCACTGGTGATATGGCTCAGTGGTTTAGGTGTTACTATGGCAGTGCTGGGTTGACAGCAGGACTGGACAATCCCAAAGSCCTCGTCCAGCCTTGATGGTCCTGATTCTGTGATCTTGAATCATGCTAGGTGGAGCTCAATGAGTCACAAATTGTCCCCCACAGAAAGCAAGCGTGTCACACCTAGAGCTCTGGTACATAAACTGATCAAATTCTTGCTTGAAGGGTCAAACGTGACAGTGTCAAATCCCATGGGAAGTCATTGTAGGCYGAGATAGACAAATATTTGCGAACATACATTAGCACTTTTCATTCAAATATATCCTGTTCCTAATTTATGACACTGGATGAGTTCTGTGTGCACAGTGGCAAATGGCCATGGGCCTTATAATTTGGACAATGTGGGATTCTGGTAAAACCACGCAGACATACATGCAAGCAAGCCTACACTGTAGATACAGGATTTTTTYGTTTGGGTTTTTTGGGGTTCTTCTGTGTGTGTGTTACAGGTCACTTTGACTGTCAGATGAGAACCAATCAAAAATGCAAAAGAGGAAATTCTTAAAACCCGTTTCTTCTGCCTCTGACTTAACGCTAGGAAGCAACGTGAAACCAGACTGTTTCTGTACTGCACAGGGGAAGTGTCACGTGGGTTGTGAAAGTTCCCTCTTTCATGCCCGGTGATGAAACTTGTTGGAAAAAAAAAGGTGTCTCTTTGCATAATTTCCTAATCCCGGCTCGGGGCAGCGGCTGGAGCGCMCAGAGGAGGCTCCGGGCCCGCTCCCGCCCCGCCCCGGCGCGGCCCGGCCGGCAMTCACCGCCCGCCATGGCGGGGCTGGGGCCCGCGGAGCCTCGGCCGCTGCTGGTGAAAATCGTCATGGCCGGGGAGTCCTGCGTGGGGAAGACCTCCATCGTGCGCAGGTACACGGAGCCCGCCGGCTCTCCCGCCGCCTCCTACATGGCCACGATCGGTGAGTGCCCGCGGGCTCCGTGCGCTTCGCCCGCCTCGCTGCCGCTGCTCGCCCTCCTCTCCCCGCTGCCCGCGGCTCGCACACGGCCACACCGGCGCTGTCATTGCGGCACTGCCGGGCTGCGAGATGGCAAAGCTCCCTGTGCTGAGCTGTGCTTGTGCGCAGCCCCGGCCAGCTGTTTAAACCTTTGCCGTGGTGTCAGGACACACATGTCACACTGCACAGTGCTGGCTCGGTACGCTGTGCTTGCTGTTCTTCTGGGCACTGGGAGCATACTCCCGTTGTGAACTTGTGAAGACTTGTTTCTCACGGTTTCCTGTTGCCCACTGCGGCCCTGCTGCTCTACATCGATACAGGTGCAGAGAAAGCAATACAAAATGCCAGAGTAGCTAGGTTGGAAATGACCTCTGAGTTCATCGAGGCCAACCTGACCAAACACGGGAATGTCAAATAGACCGTGGCACTAAGTGTGTCTTAAACACTTCCAGGGTGACTCCACCACCTCTCTGGGCTGCCCATTCCARTGTCTCATCATTCTGTCTGGGAAGAAATTCTTCCTAATGACCAACCTAAGTCTTCCCTGGTATAACCTGAGGCTAATTCCCCTCGTCCTCTCACTTATTGCCTGGGAGAAGAGGCTGATCCCCRCCTGGCTACAGCCTCCTTTCATGTACCAATCTTAAAGAGTTGTCAGATGTCAGTAAAATGCCCAGTTCCTCAATATTTCAGGCTAGAAAGAGCTTAAACTTTGTGCTTATAATTTTAATGATATAAAGATACCTTCTACTGTRGTTAGAGGTGCGCATGATGATTAAAGCAGAGCTGTAGCTATGATGGAAATAATTAACTCTGCCAGACCATGTCAATTCTGTGCTGGCACCACACSATGCAGATGGGGTTGGTGGGGAATGCCCCACTGCCCTGGCACTCCAGGCCCACAGTGCCATAGGGAATGGCAGGCTGACTGTCCACATACTGAAAACTGTGTCTGCAGCATGMAAATGTGTTGTGTAAATGCAGTGCTTTGATTTGCTGTGGAGATTTTCCCAGTTTTTAATAGGGAAATTTTAATTTTTAAGAATTCGTGTTAAGAATATTTTTTCTTTTATTTGATCTTGAAGGGAAAACTAAATTATGCCAGGAAATTGTGTRTTCGTATATTTGGAATATGCWTAATTCTTTTACATGTTTCAMTCTGAGAGRTKTTGGCATAACTGAATTAAATAACARACAGTAACTGTGACAGTAGTTGGTCCAGGGAATACTTAATGTATCTGAAATGACTTGGCCTGCCCACATAAGAATGCCTGAACCTTAAGCACTTTTTATTTTCTTGGCCCTTCTTACAAAGCAGTTTCTGAAAGCAGCACAAAGAGGGAACAACACAACAGTAAGTCAGGAAATTGAACATAGTAACAGGCAACTTGTTGCAGGGCTGAGCAAGAAAGCTCGAAGAATGGCTATAAAAATAAACCRCAGCTTTGTAGATGTGCTTTACATTGACATTCCTGACCATGAGGTTATTATTTTGAGACATAATTTCTTTTACTCCTGGTTCAGTCCACTGCAGACTCAAAAACTTTAAAATGTTGATGATATTAAGAAAATATTTCTCAAGTTGTGACTTGAACTTTTTCAAGGAATAGTGAAGATAATAGAGTTTCTGTGACAGTTTTTGGTCTAAGATTAAATGTCCTTAGTTTTATTACTGACACCTATTATTTAGATATTTAAAATTTTTTTAAAGAGATGTTTATCTGAATTGTAAAGGAATAACCCAAACATGGTATTTGTTATCTGAATGTGTTTTTAAAGTTATTTCTGAAATACTGTGTTCCATTTAATTACATTTTGCCCAGTGTATTAAAGCTTAGACTTTGAAAACTGATGGGATTATGAAGGGTGTCTCCCAAAAGAGTAATATTGGAAGTGAAAGTTCCTTCTTSATGAAGACAGCTGCAATGGAGAGGATGCCCTAGAGACTGTGGCACCTAGTGGAGTAAAGGAAGAAGACACATTACAGTGTTTTCTATTTGAGATATCTTCTCTCTTTGCTGATACCATCAAAACAAGTTACTGTTTTTATCTGGATGCCTGTTACATACAAGCTCAGTCAAATGATCCCTTTTTGTTGTACAGCCTATTGAATGCTGATAGCTGATTTTTTGCGTTAGCTGTCCAGCCGAAGCAATGACTTGAGTAGAGGGAAGATTATCCTGGCTGTGCAGTCTTGCAACTTTGTGAGTTCCTTGACAAAATTGTGTACCATTACCTTCCTTGGCAGCAAAGGGTCTTAGGCACAGGGGTTAAAAGGTTGTTGTAAGTCTCGCTTCTGTGTCATCACAAATCACAGATTTGTGTTGCTAGGAAAAATCCTGGTGGTGTTGCAGGACAAAAAAATGAAACAAGCATTTTGCAGTAAGCTCCAATAGTAGTGATCTTTTCTAAAATTATGTATTTTATGAGAAAATACAAAAAGTACATCCACAATGAATTTTCATTGAAAGCTTTCAATGCAGCACTAAAGCACTCAAGGGTGGGTGCCCTTCCTCTTCAATAATACAGTTCAGGGTTTTTTTGATAAATTGTAAGCAGTTATAGTTTTCTAATTAAACTTATACACATCATAAGGCAGATGCTTTGTATTATGAATACACTATAAAGAATAAACGTCTTTGTTTAAACAATGGCATTGCATATAAAGTCATAGAGAAGGTTTATGAACAAAAAAAACCCCTTGTATACCAATGAACAGAACTGTGATTTCACAGACTGTGAGGTTGTTTTGCTGTATTACGGCTGTCGTTCTTCAGCACGTGTTTTCCATGAGAAACATTTTTGCAGAGCTGTGAGTCCTCCCGAATTTGTCACAGTTGAAAGTGGTACTTCAACATTAGGATTAAAAATTAGGTCCTGTAGATTCCCTGATATTTACTTCAGAAAGGAATGAAGTATTCAACAAAAATGATCCATATTGAAAATAAACGTGTCATGTGTGAAGAACACCAGTGACAATACACATCTTAATTTTTTWTTTTTTTTTTAAACAAAACTGGATTTTTTGGTCACTCTTTCTTTCCTAGGCCGTCTTACCCCATGAGCTGCTTTTGTTAGCAAACCAAGAATTATCGTACTTGGGACTGCTCAGATACCCCTCTGCTTCAGACATATCTTGACATGTTCATGAAAGAATCTGATGCAAGTAACACACCAGCAACCCAGCAACTGGGAGAGATTAAGTATGGGTAGGAGTTACAGTGTAAACTCAACCCATGACATCTCAGTGGGCTCTTGCCACTTTGGGCACAGGAGCTGATAGGGAGGGAAGAGAGGGGCCAAAGGGAGGGAAGAGAGAGGCATTTCACAGCTGAATTACCTGGTGGCTGACTATTTTGGTGCTTTTTAGGCCTAATTGTCTTTAGGGTGCCTCAGTTTTAAAATAGGCATTATTTAYTCTTTTAAAGAAAAGAAATTAATTTAATGGCTATAAAAGTTGGAAATAGCAACCAGAATTTGAACTTGCACCCAGCATTCCCCTTCTTGGTTTTATTTGACAGCTTAAAAGAAGCAAGCACATGCTGTTGCATTCCAATAACATTTATCTCAAGAGCTGTAATCAATGCTTGCTTTGTTATGTTGATCATGTTGTATACCAGGTAGGCCTAAAAGCATCTGAAATCCGTGAGCTGTCCTTGGCATTGTGTATCTCATTTTTCTTTTCTGTCTTTCCAATTTGCTAAGTTTGCTGGAAATTTCATATAAAGACATGAACAATTCATGCATGCAGAACATATTGACTTCTGTTTTTCACTAACATTCATTGACCTTTTAGGTCAATAAATTTTGAAGTTGACTTAAGAAGTCAATATGCCTGATTTTAATTTAGATTAAGTTTTAGTCTGATTCAGCACTCTGCTTTGCTTTTTATAATTTTTTTTTAAAAAAAGCTTATAGCAATTTATTATTAAAATGTATGTCAACTCAGAACTTTTTCCTATAGTTCTGGGAATCCCTGTCCAGAGTATAATTTTTTACTGTATTCCCAGTGCACTACTTGGAAGTGATGTTCCTATCTCCCAGTGTATACCCTGTCCCTCTCAACTGCTCCAACATCAATTGTAGAAAATGATACAGATAATTAAACAAAGCCATGTGAATTTCAGGAGCAAATGTTTTCCATCACGTTGGAATTTCACCTTACATGAGCAAATTTTACTTAAATTACATTTCCTTCTGACATTATTAATTCCGTYAAGGAACCTTTTTGTAATATTAATTACAGATACCAATTATATTATTTCATCTTTCCTTTTCATTGAAGCTTCAATGAAAATTCATCAAGTGAAGGACATGATTATCATAATAATTTTTTTAATCCACCTCAACTCTCTTACCACATACACACAAAAAATGTTAATAGCATTGAGAGTGCGTGTGACTGCATGCATGTGAGAGTGTACTTGTCCAAATTTTGTGGACAATACATCTGTTAGTACAAAGGAAGGGAGCATTTCCTCTGCTGCATTTTTGGTTTGCTGCCATGGGTGCTTTCCTTTGGTAAAGTAATTTGGCTTGCCCGTTCTTACGGAAATCCATACAGTGGTATTAACTTAAAATTTTTTGTGGTTTTTCAATCTGTCTTGTTCTTTCAAATGACATTACTACTGGTGAAAAGACACTCTGTCATTTTAAGTAGCTGTAGTTTGAGCTTATGAAATTTTGACCATACARCATCTTAAGCTGTCACACCCTTACCTTAACTTCACTTACTGTGATTGACAAAAAGTGTCTAATTGTATTTCAGTCGGGGTAATAAGCAATCACAGAAATTATCAAACGATTTTTCAGACTTCAGCAATGAAKTAATAGGGGAAACGATGGTGAACACTGAGAAAATATGTCACTCTGAGATAGCAGCTGATAGCTGGCAGATTCTAATTTTGAAACTGGAACTTCAACAGCTCATAAATCTAGATATCATCTAACACATTTGGAGTACTAATTTGATTATTTGCTAAAGGAAAACACTATAAATCATAAGGAAAATACCTTTGAGGAAGGATCTGTAGTGTATGTGGAGACAGCATTCTGCACTGATTTTAAGTGTTAATACTTGCTTTTAGCATTGGCTTTCTGGATCTGATTTAGGCTTTGGAGCCAATCCTCTTCTTTTTGAATTAAATCTCATGTTTGTTTGTCTTTGCATTTAATGAGTACAGCTAAATCTTATTTCTGCTCATCTAACCCTGAATATTTTTTTTAGGGATTTGGAAGTAAGGACARAAAAATGGTGTTGCACATGTGAMAGCTTTGTAAGCACTTCTACCTTTYCATTCATAGCTGCCATGCTCTTGAAAACCACCAATATATTTGCACAATGTACTATTGTGCATAGGCCATGAAATTACTGTCATGTTCCTTGCCAATCCATGGTAATACTTGTAGTTTCAGAGTATCTGCACCTTTGCTTTGACCTGCCCCTACTTTGCTTGRTATTGGCATTGCTTTGTATTGTATTTGTGCAATGTATTGGCAAATAGTTGCTTTCAGCACTGAAGAATCTCCTTTTGCAATTTCCATTTTGAATGTATATGGTTGGCTAGTTATTCTTTCTATGGTACTGTTCCTTTTCACTTTCTGTTTGAAATTGCATGATAATTAGAGCTGAGAAACAATCTTCAAAGGGAATCTGTATTATTATGAGAAATGTTACAGATTTTCCTTTTTTCTTCTAGGCATTGATTTTAAAGTAAAGCCAGTAATGTTTAATGATACAAGAGTGAAACTTCAAATATGGTAAGTTTTAATTAGTATCACAAAAGAAAGCCAACTGAATTGTATTAGGACATGAAAAATCCCATCTACTTTTAATTGTTTGTCTTCATAATGTGCAGGTGCACCTACTAGGTCATTTTAAAATATGAATTTAGCYCAAGAGAATACATTTTTTGCAGCAACTAATGTAAGTTAAGAAGAGAGTTGTCAGTGGGTTGCTTTAACAATAAAACTTGCAGCAAACAATTGCAGATCTATGATACATACGAAGTATATYAATTTGTATAGGAACATTGAGGAAAGTGACAAAGAAGATACTACATTTCATTACCCACCAAATGTATGTTCAAAAGGGTCATGARGAGAAATTACTTTTTCTAAGATGAATTCTTGGGAATGTACACTATTTTTTGGGTTGCAGGTTTTTCTAAATGATATGTAGATCTTCTGACAGCTGGGTCTCTAGGCATCTAATACTGAAGATCATCTCTCTTTACCAGTATTTAACTCCCCGAGGAGTAAATCTGTGCATGAATTGTCTGACTGGTATAGGATCTGCAGTTACTCCATCTCAAATTATTCCATTTTTAATACAAAAGTATTAGAAGCTTGTTTACAGCTTTCTTAAGGCATAATTCATAGAATCATGGTATATGCTGAGTTGGAAGGGACCCATCAGGATCACTGAGGCTGACTTCTGTGCAGGACACCAGGAATCACACCATGTGCATGACAGTGCTGTTCAAATGCTTCTTGAGCTCTGTCAGGCTTKGTGCTGTGACCACTTCCCTGGGGAGCCAGTTCCAGTGCCCAAACACCCTCTGAGTGAAAAACCTTTTCCTGATATCCAGTCTATCTTTTCCTGATACCCAAGCCCCTGACTCAGCTTCAGGCCATGTCCTCAAGTCCTGTCACTGGTTGTGAAAGTGAAGAGATCAGTGCCTACCCCTCTGCTTCCCCTTGTGAAGGAGTTGCAGGCTGCAATGGGYTCTCCCTTCAGTCTCCTCCAGGCTGAACAAACCAAGTGACCTCAGCCACTCCTTGTATGGCTTCCCCTATTCTCATGGCCCTCCTTTGGATGATCTCTAAGAGCTTAATGTCTTTTTTATATTGTGGCACCCAAAACTGCCCCCAGCACTCAAAGTGAGGCCACCCCAGTTCAGAGCAGAGTGGGTCAATCCCCTCCCTTGCCCAGCTGGTGATGCTGTTCCTGATGCCCCCAGGTCATGGCTGGCCCTCCCGGCTGCCAGGGCACTGCTGACTCCTGTTCAACTTGCCATGGACCAGGATCCCCAGGTCCCTTTCTGCAGCACTGCTCTCCAGGATCTCGTTCCCCAGTCTGTATATGCTACCAGCATTGCCCCGTCCAAGGTGCAAAATCCAGCTCTTGTCCTTGTTAAACTTCAAGCAGYTGGTGATTGCCCAGTSCTCTAATTTGTCAGGGTCTCTCTGCTGGGCTTCTTTGGTCTGGAGGGAATCAACAGGTCCTCCCAGTTTAGTATCTTTGGCCAACTTAGTATCACTTTGAGTCCTGCATCCAAGTGGTTGATGAAGATGTTGAAGAGAATTAGGMTKGGGATGGAGCCCTTCAGAGCCCCACTGGTGACTGGGTGCCAGTCTRATGTCACCCCATGCACTGTCACCTTTTGCTGACCTGTGAGCCAGTTGCTCACCCATCGCCTAACRGTTATCCAGCTGTGTGCTGAACATTTTGTCTGGAAGGTACTGTGAGGGACAGCATCAAAAGCTTTGCTGAAGTTCAACAAGATCTTACCTGTTGGCTCTCCTGATCAGCTAGGTGGATTACCATGTTATAGAAGGAAATCAGGTTCAACAAGCAGGACTTTGCCCTCATGAAGCTATGGAAGCTGTGACCAATGACTGTGTTGTCCCCCAGGTTTTTGTCAGTATCTCCCAGAATAATATTTTTCATTATTTTACTAAGCACTGAAGTGAGACTGGCAGGCCTGTAGTYRCCCTTCTTGAAAATGGTGACAGCTTTACCCATCTTCGGTCAGCTGGGAACCTCTCCAGGCTCCCAGGGCTGCTCGAAATCTGAGAGAGGCTTTTCAGTGACATCAGCCGGTTTATTGAGGATTCTCATATGAATCCTCAATATGAATCTCATATTAAGCTCCATGGATTTGTAGGGATCCAGCTGGAGAAGCAGATCCCACATAATTTCAGGGTCARCKGGGAGTTGATCATTCTCACAGTCATGATCCTCCAGCTCGGGGCACTGAGATGTCCTTGGTCAGTCACCCGTCTTGAAGACAGAAGCAAAGAAGTTATTGAATCTCTGCCTTGTCCATGTCCATGTCAGTGAGATCACCATCCTCAACCTGCAATGGGTTATTATTTCTATATTGACTTGTATCATTCATATATTTGAAAAAACTTTTTATTATCTCCCACATTTCTGGCAGTTTCAACTCCAGTGTAGCTTTGGCCACCCAGATTTTCTCCCTACAGTGGAAGACAGTATCTGTATTCTTCCCATGTCACCTGACTTTGCTTCCACTGCACCTTCCTTATTCRTCTTATTTCCCATCAGGTTTCACTTATGCCAGTGATTCAAGTCTCAGGGACTGGGCCAAGGCTTRGAGCTTGTCTCCTTTGTTCCTCTTGCTTAGTCTGTTAGTATAGAAACATTTCAGGTGTAGTACTTTGTAGCCAACATCTCCTGAAGCAGATTGAGAGACCCTCTTTGTGTTCATTTCCTCAAGTTTTGGCACAACATTCCATTATGTGTAGGAATAACACACATAATGGGATGTGTAGGATCCCATATAGTTTTTTATGTGTAGGATCCCTTACAGGTTCTTTTTTCCCCCAAAACCTGTCTTCCATCTAAACCAGGTTGCTGTTTGTGTCACAGTTTACAAAGGGGTCGTCAGAATATGGGGATGTCATCTGACATCTGATTTTTTTTTATCATCTGAGTTGTACTGATCTTAATGATTATGTGTATAAAGAAGGAATGATGAGCTTGACATTACTCTCAGATTTCAGCCATTGGCTTGGCTTCCCTAGTGGGGCTGTATTATTCTAAATAAATTTCCAATGTATTTCTTTTACTGCTATATGTGGCAGTCAGATTTTCTCTCATCCATATTTTTTCTGTTCTTTTCATATTAGAGTACAGAATTTAAAATTTGGACAATACTCCCTAAAGTCAAGAATCTTTCTTGGGGAATCTATCTGCTGTTTGATAATCTCTTTTCTGTTTCTTTGTGTGTGTGTGTGATTTGTTACAATTTCTTTCAGGGATACTGCTGGCCAGGAACGATTCCATACACTTAGTACCAGCTATTTCCGTGGTGCACAAGGYTTTGTTCTTGTATATGACATCACAAATCTGAAGAGTTTTCAAAGTATAACAATCTGGATAAAYGACATATATGAGGTAAATATATCTGTCAGTGGTTGATCCCTAAATGAAAGTAATTAATGTGTTATTTTAAATGATTGCATGAGATGTATTCTTATTCCTGTATGTTTCTAACCAGAATTTCTTGCATTTAACTCAGCACACAGTATTATAGTAGAACTACTGTCATCTGAAACTGGAACACGGTGTATATATTTAGACAAGCCCAGAGTGATGGAGGAATGTTTTCTGAAGTACTTTTAAAACATATCTCCCAATCCAGCTTTGTGCATGCTGAGTTATGGTGCTCTTGTCACTGGCGTGGCTATACACAGGTCAATATCCATGAGCTCATCTYGGGTTTTAATTAGATTCTATATCAAAATTCTGTATCACAGACAGTGACTTCCCTTTCCTGATTTCATTACTTCAGTGTTGTTACCTCATCCCAAGATCAAAAGAGTTAGATACCCTCTTTGTCCTTGCTGGATGTTCCTTGAAAAGATAGTTTCAGTAAGGAGGAAGTGGGGTGGGAAGCTGTTCGGTGAGCTCAGCTGCTCGTGGTGCTGCAGCCAGAAATACACTTTCATGTGACATAGGAAGTGATTCAGCAGCACATGGCTGCCAGACGGGGGWTGTGTTCCCACTGAAGCTTGTCAGAGCCCTCTGTGGTTCACTCTTGACTTCCTAGTGTGGTAGAAAAATAACAGCAATAAAAGTTCCATGGTTTTTCTTCTCCATCAGTTAGTTTAGGAGGCTCATAGAAAGGTCTGACACTTACTGGAGTGAGAGCAAGATAAACAGGTTGGAGTAGGAGGGCCAGAAGAAGAAAGTGTGGGAACAGTGTAAAGGGAGGGAGGAGTGGGCAAGGCCTTAGAGATGAGATCATTCAGCTGCCTGTAACCCAGTATTCCAAGTTGTTTTTTGGAAAAGGTCTTTCTTGATGTGTTCTCTATTAGATAGAGGCAAGTCAGTTTTAGAATAGTTCAGCTTTAAGGGATGTTCAGTGATCATCTAGTCCAGCTCTCTGATCACTTAAAGGGTGACAAAAAGTTAAAATATGTTATTAAGAGCATTGTCCAGATGCCTCTTAACTTGGCTTGGGGAGTGGACCATCACCCTGGGAAGCCTGTTCCAGTGTTTGACCACTCTCTCAGTAAAGAAATGCTTCCTGACGTCCACTCTGAATCTCCCTGGCACAACTTTGAGCCATTCCCAGGTGTCCTGTCTTTCGATACCAGGGAAAAGAGATCAGCACCATTCTCTCTACTTCCCCTCCTTAGGATGCTGWAGGGAGCAGTGGCCCTCAGCAGTGGCACTGTACTTTGTAGTTAGCATGCCTGTGGAAATTAGTGTGCTTGTGTAAGAATCCAGGCCAGGTAGTGCTCTTTGTTGATTAAAATCAAGTAAACTTTCTAACAGGTTTTTAAATATTCTCATGATTTGGTGGGAATATGACATGATGGATAGGAGAGTTCATCTTGGGAAAAGTGGGCGTGAAATAAAGCCATCAAATGCATTCATTTCTCTCTTCACAGCTTCAGTATCCAGCCAACTTAATGAACTACTCATGGTCATATATCCAATAGTATATATATGGGATATCTTATACTCTTGGTGAACATTACATTCACATTATCTCATTTTTTAAAGCATTATTCTGGTGACCTAGTACATTATTATTCTTGAACTTAGAGCCGTCTTGAAACTCATAACAGAACCTAACAGAACCTAACTTCAGTAATTGTTACGAAGGAGATTTGATGACACAATATTCTTACTGGCTTGGCTGCACACACTTTAACACATCTGTTTTATTGTTTTGTTAACAAAAGCATGTACCCTTCTTCTGTTGGCCGAAGGTCTCAGCTAAATATGCAGCTGTTGTAGAGTTTCATGGTTAACAAATATTTAGCTCAGCAAACAGTATGGTAGCAGTTTTACTGTTACCTGAAAGAGAAAATGTAGATTATCTGCATATATCCATTTATAGCCATCTATCTATCTATCTATCTATCTATCTATCTATCTATCTATCTATCTATCTATCTATCTATCTATCTATCTATCTAAATTTCAACATAAAATACTGGTATGTCTTCACAGTGGCTCTGAAGGGGTAGTTTTGTCCTGTCATCTTCAGTTAGATCAACTGGGTTATTGATTCAGTGGGATACAATGCACAGCCATAAACACCAAGAAAGTATCAGGGATGTATGGCTGGGGTGGAAGGGAGCTCCTGTGGCCACCATGCTTTAGTCAGTCTGGAAATGACACCTGCACAAGCCTGCTCTCTKTTTGTGACATTTAAAAGCTTTTGTGTAAATCTACTCAAGCTATTTATACTTAGACTGTTTAATCTTAACCCCTAAAGGTASTTTGTTAGTTTAAAGTTTAAAACATGGAAAAATACTTGATCTAAAACAATTTCTAGGAATGTAAATTGCATGATTGATTGTGCTAATCTCAAAACTAGCAATTAGTGTTGTAATAGAGCTAGATAGTAATAAAAAATTTAATTTAGTCCTAGTGGGATATCAATTTCTGAAGTGTCTTGGTGAAAATATATGGGGCCATTCATTGCAAAAGAAATGTTTTTAAGCAATAACTGTTAAAACACAGGGCATTTCATGAAAATTAATTACTTCCTGGAGGTTGGTGACATTCCTTGCATTTGCTTTGGTCTGTGAATGCAAACCAGTATTTAATTCCCCCAAATGCCCAGAATCAAAATGACTGTTGCTACAGCACCATTTAAAATATGCAAGTGTAGAAATAATAAATAAGTTTTAAAAAGGGAAACAGAGAGAATACAGGTTTCACTAAATAGCAGACTAATAGGTAAAGTTTGCACTTGAACCAGTCGAAAGGGAATTTTTGAGGCAATTCAGTTATTACTTTATGCTGTCATTTTTTTGGTTCTTTCCACATAAAGATTATAAACAGAAAGTTTTTTAAAAATCTGTTCAGTGTGCTAAGCTGTTTTTGCAACAGTTGAAAATAACAATCCAAACAATCCAAGCAATTTAGCATTCTTAAAAACTCCCAYTGATTTTATAAAAACTGGCCAGTGAGTGCAATTACAATCAGATTACCAGTAATGTTCTCATTATATTTCAGTTATTTTAAGTGTGGTGTACAGCATCTTTACTATTAAAAATGAATTATTGTCCAAGGAAGTTCAAGACCCAAATACAGTGCCRTATCTTTATTGCTGTAAAATTTGAATTCAGAACTAGAGGAAACTGAGTAAAATGACTGTACTTTAAAAGCTTACTAGAAAAATATACTCACTCACAGATTAATATCTTACACCATTATTGGCAAATCCAGTATAGGGATATTGGATTTGYAATGCATTCATTAGGAACATGGTAATTGCAGGAGTTATCTAACTTAAGAACCTGAAACCATTCTTTATTTGTAGGATTGGAGGTCATGTCCACTTTATTCAAGTGTTCCTCTTGTCTGTTGGCATGGCTTTTAGTTATTGCACTGTCCTGAAAGGCTGATTCTGTTTGGCCTTYGAAAATTAAATACAAGCAGCCAGGTACCAAATCCATGTTCARAAAMCAGTTMTTTCCAGGATGYTTTGAGCCRGATTTCAACTAACACTGGCAAAAAGGTCTTCGCAACAGAGTGTTCAAAAGCTCAGAGTGCCCAGAGTGCCCAATAGGTGCCCAGAGAGGATCACTTAAAGGAGATGCTTAAAACCCCATTCAACAGGGCCTTGAGCAACCTACCTGATTTTGAAGTTGTCCCATTTCTGAGCAGGGAATTAAACCAGCTGGCTTCCAGAAGTCCTTGCCAACCTAAATTACTCCATTATTCCCACATGGTGCCTGGATCTCCAAAAATTGTTGACATAGATGGTAGGTCCYAGTTTACTTCTAAATACTTTGGAGTGGTTTTAATTATGCTATTCTCCTGATGTGGCCATGAAGGTGGTGTTTCCAGCTCCTAGCAGTTATCTCTGTGCCGGAAATTATCTGCCATCACAGAATTTTCTGCAAGTCTTGGTGGCAGTATTTTAGTGTCCTTGGAATATATTAATCTTCCATTTGTCCTACCTGAAGAAGTGACCCCTCARTCAGGATGTGAACTCCATGGGTTGTTGAGTTGCTGCAATTTCTGCATAGTGCCCTTTTTTGGTTTGGTTCTTCTGATGCWTTTGGGAGAATGGACTATCTTTCAGTGTTTCTGCCTCATGCTTAAATAAAAGCAGCACAGCAGACTGTTTTCCAAATGTAAATTAGTTTGACTTCAAACTYTTCTGAGTTGTTCTTCCTCAGATGGGAAAGCTTGATGTCAAAAGACTGAATTGTCCCAGTTAATAGGTTTGTCATTATGGCTCTGATTAGAAGTTAAAATTCTTGTTCTTGTCATTTTACTAAATTGCTTTATCTGTAGTTCTAGGTTGGTTTGGGGATAAATTGGTTTATATGTACTGCCTTCTAAATTTCCTAATAGACAAATAAACTTTATCATTCATTTACTTCCACCGAAGTCCTGGAAACCAGGCATTTTACCCGAGGTCATAAAGTGATACTTAGAAAATATGTGGAAAGCTCCATGTATGGCAATCCTGACGGGAACACTGCCTATGTGATACTTTCAAAGAGGCTCTGAGGACAATCCTAACAAATGGCTCTTCAGTATCACAAAGGGAAAGTTTCTAGTGTCACTGYSTARTGACMAAGAAGCTTCCCAGTTTTATTGCCYTCTCCAGCTCTGCCTTCACCTTTATGTTTGACAATGAACATCTTCAGATGTGAAAGTTGTATTATTGCTACATTTCTTCTTAAAATACAGGCTATATATACATTCCCATAGTGTATTTATCAGGTATGGGTTCTCAGTTTCACTGTTTGGACCTACAAACAAATTTCTGTTGCCTTTTCAAACTGCCATTAATGAGTATCAAAATCATGCAGCTCTTCACAACTATGCCCTGGAAGTGTGGTGAAGGGATGAGGAGGTGTTCTGGAAGATGTATCACTGGATAGATAGCTTTATACMACAAGGAGTCTGGATGAGTTCCTAATCATCATGGTCAGTGTGCTGCAGGGGTGGCTGAGGTCATTCATGGTAGRTCTGTGCTCACCATTTTTGGAGTGGAGGTATAGTTTCTTCCAATAACCTCTAAGTACAGATRTGGTGCAGTTCTCTTATAGAAAAGGTGTCTGCTACTTCTCATATCCACAGAAATTCACAGCACTTCTGGAAAATAAAAAAACTGCAGAAAAAAGACCTTACATTTGAAAAAAAAAAAAAAACCCCAAAAAAACCCCAAAAGAAATCCAAACCCCCCAAACAAATTACATGCAAAAGGGATAAGCAATATATTTTCCCTTTTGCATTTTGATTTCTGTTAACAGCCACATAGTCAGGTTGTGCATTTACTTGGCTAGGGGGACATTAAGCAGAAGGGTGAAGGGCATGGGTGGGTGGCTCCTATCAGTAGTGTACTAAACAGMCTGTGGTGCTGTGATGTGAGTGTCCAGTGTTCTGAGTCCAGGATGTGGCACCGCTGAGTTTGAAGCTCTGCTGCTGCTCCCTCCCGTGGCCACTCTTCAGAGCAGCCTGGCTCCYGCTGCTGCCAGATCCAGCTGCCTGGGAACTCAGTGTAGTAAAAGCCCTGCTGCCAAAACCCAAGCTCTTCCAAACACATCAGAAAACTTSATTGGTCTCAATAAATCTCTTGGGTCCAGTTTCTTCAGAGAAATATAGTGCTGATGTTTTCCTTTTCAAAATAGAATAGTATAGGTATTCTCCAGATTCAGGTTATATTTATTTTAACCTTCAGTGAAATGTGAACTTTGAAATGCTAAAACCCAAAGAAAAACAGAGAATGAACAACAAATTGGCATTTTTGAGATATCAGAGCAAAACTTTTATCTGGGGAAAAAAAAACTATTTTTGCCTTGATGAAGTTGATGAAATTTTTAGTAGTACTTCTCCATAATATGYTTCCTGAGTCTATGAGCTTACTCAGTGCTGACTTGCATAATAGGATTGTAACAACTGTAAAATAACCATCGTCTTTTTAGCTATAGATTTTTGTATTTGGAAAGCTTATTCCTGAGCTATAAATAAKRGWGTATGAAAATACAGTGAGTTTTTGRGAGCACTGWAAAACCATATTTTTGGMCARTTCAAATCAGTGTACCTGTRCAGTTTTTATGCCAGCTGAGCACATGGTTAAACTTCTGCCTAGTCRTATTGACTTAATCTTTTAAGACTTCATACATAATCAGTTTTCAGAATTTAAAATGGATATAATTTTGACTTACAGTCTTCAGTTTTCTACATGCAAGACACTGCAGATACCATAGTTAAAAAAGGAGAACTGTAAGTGCTCCTTTGGTACAGGATCCAGACAAAGTGAARATACATTGGTACATTATATTGATGTAGAAATAGTAGTTATTTGCAGAAATAAATACTTTGTGATTCACAGTTTGTACCGATAAATACTTGCTGAGAGATCTGGTACCTCAAACCTYGTTTAAATTTTGTTATAGTTTGAAGCTGTTTAGCAAGAACATTCCTTCTGCAAAAATTTATGCTCTTTGTACAGAAATTAGGTTACAGGATGAATTCAGTGGGTTTGTACYTGCAGTATGCAAGTATTTCTCTCTGAACTTTGCAGAGTGAAGTCAATGTCACTTGTAAAACATTCATCAACATTCAGTCTTCTTCTGAATTAAAACTTGATTATATAATGAGAATAAATTGTCTATTTACTCTATTTTGGGACTGATATGTGTGATTTAATGTAGGAGAGCCACTGATCTTAATGAGTGAAGCTTCAATGCATTTTGAAACAGCCAACATTTTGGTCTGTTAATGCAGGTTAGAATAATTCGTTTAGGGCAGTGCTTCGCACTCTTATGAAGTTTACTTCATTATAATACTGCATTACCTTGAACATGGACTCTGGGTATGAAATAAGTTTAGCTGACTCTAAGAGGAGAATGGATTTAAAAAAAAAAAAAAAAGAAATAGTCTTCCTTAATATTTAATTATGCCTACTGATGAAGTCTTCAAATTGTGGTAAAAGTAGAAATAGACCAAAAATAATGTTCTCTTCAGAGAATGAGTAGAGSTTTTTCTCTGTATGATTGTGACTGATTTTGTCTTATGGCAAAGTTGCAAAAATTAAGGATTTGATAGAGAGCAGAGATTTCATCAAAGTCCCTGTAGAGAGATCTGCAGCCTGAGACCAGGCTTTTTCATTCATCAGGTGAGCTGTGTGAGCATGTACCTCCAGAATAAAGGCATCAGACCACATTAACTTCAATTGTTTGTAGATGGAAACCCTCAGTTTCCTCCATTTAAGCATCAAAAGTGTTTTCAAATATTATGATTTTCATCATGAATGTCAGTTTTCAAATTCCACATGCTGTTGCAGAAATGTTCCCTTTCCTTGTCATTATTCCAGTCATGTATAGTTACAATGGCTTATCTTAAAATAACACTGATGTAAAAAACCCAGTGCATTTCACAGTCATCATGCATTTGAGTGGATTAGAGGAATGGGGATGGAGACAAGGTCAAAAAGATTTTTCTTCCTTTTGGAATCAATGAGGGTTTTAAATTTTACTTCATTAAAAATCTATTGCCTTCTTCCTAGTGTCTTGGAATAATCAGACTTTTATGTTGAGTTTGAAGACTTTGAAAGTAATTTTACTGTCTGTGTGCAAAAGTGAAGCACAGAGAGGTGCTCTTTCAGGTGCAGCAAATTTCTTCCCTTTTACTTGTGAGAGCTGGATGTAGACCAGAGTCATATGCTAATCCATGAATCTATTACTTTAAGRAGGGCAGTGTCTGTGAATTCAGGACATTTCCAGTCACTTTAGAGCCTCAAGATGGAGCATTCATCAGAAGATGGTGCCCATGCACCATATATTTTATAYCTTAYRAAAGGGGTTGGAAATTACACGTGGYACTTYTAAGWAGCTCTTTTCTGTTCTTAGCAATCTTTCTGTTTTTCTCTTAATCTCAGTAACTGGTGGAAAATATTTGTACRTATGAAGGTCAGGACAGAACTTAGCCTTTACTTTCAAGGAAATGGAGTGCTGAAGGTTAGTGTGAGCTGAAGGTGAAGGGCTTTTGTTGTTTGCTTTTTTCTTTCTTGACACTTATTAATGCTGGTTCTCTTTTAGAAAGCAGGTGATGAAGTGGACGTAATACTGTTGGGCAACAAGTGTGATAAGGAGTCAGAACGGGTAGTTCCAAAACAGAAAGGAGAAAAGGTATCTTTGGTACTTTCTTTGGGTCCTGCTGAGTATCTTACTRTGAGCTGTTAAACTGAGAATGGTAAAAAGCTCCTGAATTCCAAAAATTCTATTACGACTTGCTCTTGAAGAAGAGTTGTGGAGTTCTGGATACATTCAGTAATTCCTAGCAGATCTCTTTAGAATACTGATTTCTTTTTTTTTCAAAGATTAAAATGTACTTTAGAAGTTTTRGGTACCACAGTAGAAATCTTACAGAGTCTGCATTTTCAGAGTAGTGTTGTAATGTGGAATATTAAAATGTAATACATTCTGCATCATTTTTCTGATACCACACATTAGTGATACTTTTGCTACAGTCTGACTATAAAGAACTATTCTGACAGCCTGTGCAAAGTGATCTACACTGTCTGAGAATAGCCTTAAATAAGAACAGATACTGAACATCCAGCTCCCTATAACTGTGCATGTGATGTATAGCTGAGACTACAGTAGAGTTTATAGCTGCTGACCATGTAGGGAAAGAACTTACTAAGTTGGGAGTGCTGTTTTAAGGGGAATGTCTGTCACTGAGAGCCAGTGAGGAAAYTCAGAAGCCATGCTATGACAGAAGAAATTGGGGTAGTAACTAAATACTGCAGGAGAGCTTGTCCTATATAGCRGTAAATTTTGGCACTGCAAACTGTATGTGTCTGTTCTCTGGAACTTGGAAGAAGCCCTCCTGTTACTCTTTCAGGCATGGTGAGTCAGGCAGGATGTCTCATGTTTAAGGAAAACCACGCTGATAGCTTCCTGACAACTATGTAATCCCAGATTAGGGAACTTTGAAAAAATGGTATGACCTTTTGGACAGCATTACATTCCTGAAAGTTCATAGTTCATATGAAAGATGCTTTCAGTGTTAATGTACGATATCTATGTTACAAGGATTAAGGTTGCTGAAAAATACCTGTTGTATTCTCACACAAAGGATGCACTGTCATAAACCTAGAGATTCACTGGATGCATGTGCACAAGAGGGCAGTAGTAGGGTTTTGTAYAGGGCATTAAGCATGACATTTTCTGACTCCTGGGCTCTTAACCATGCAACCCAAATTCCTCTTAATGTAGTGGGTTTTTTTCAGAAACAAATCATTACCTTCTCCCCAGTGACTCTGCTTTCTAGATTTCCCCTGTGTTTTGAGGCAAGGCAACTCTACTGTTACACTATTTATTCTTTTAATATTATTTACGAGTGCTAAAGGACCTGACTGTGTGTCTTGGAAAAAGATTCCATTAGCAGAGAGAGAAACAGTAATTGTCCTCTCACTCTAAAGAAGAAAATACCCTTATTAAGAGGGGAAAACAGTTTGATTTTAACATTGGCAAATAATAATTCATAGTTACGTATTTCATACTACCCTGAGAGTATGAGCTGTAAGTGTTGTTCTGTTCAGTCTCTTGCACAGAACTCTGGATTCCCTGAGAATCTCCAAATCTATATTGGCATTTCTGTAAAAATCTGTTGTAACTGAATGGCTGTCATGTATCATTTCATTTGAATTTAATGCTGAGAATTTTTTGTTGKTTTTTTTTTTTGTACTAAATCATGTAATAATTAATTTTGTACAAATTTATGTAATTTTGATGACTCGGAAATTGAGATGTTTGATTTTAACACTACGAAGTGTTATTTTCTTGTATTAATTGCTTCTTACTTACTTGGACAAAAGTTTTAACTCAACCTTCTTGGGCTCCTCCTTTCACCCCCCCAATATCATTATCATTTTCATTAAAAGATAAAAATGCTGAAGGTTATATGACTTGGTAGAATGTGGCTGTTTTTCTTCTATCAAACTTTTCTAGCAGAAAAAGCCAAGTAAAGTTTTCTTCTTTATTTTTTGCTTTTGCTGTCTTCATAGCTGAAGCTGATTTATAGTTTCAAAGCTGATTTTTTACATTCTTCTACAGTTTTTTTACATTTTTCTACAGTTTAGGAATATTTCAGACATATATCTCTGATTCAACACTAAGAAATTACAGCAGCACTTTGCTAGGGAATAKTATTAGCATTACTTATTTTATTATTAAAATATTGTAGGCAAGATATGAGCTTATTTTACTGAAGTTCTCCAAGCTGTTATCAAGGATATTATAAAATAGCATTTTCCAGTAGCATAGTTCCCACAGGTTTGTAAATGTATTTAGGTATTTTATTTATGGATCTATTCAAGATGCTCCCAAAGGGAAAAAACCTGTTCTTTGAATATACCTTTCTGGTTTTGGGAGAGGTAGTAGCCAAATTGGTGTTTGGGGAACTTTGAACTGCTTTACCACTAGGGGTTTTTCCATCAAGCTACATTTTTGGAGGACTGGCTTGCTACAGAATTTAGCAGTATGCAGGGTAAAGTGAAAAAATRCATACACTGATCTTCTTTGGCCAGTATTGTGCACATACAGAGAAAATGTGGGTGCATTGATAGATATAGTAGGCAGTGTAGTAACATGATACAAAGAACGCTGAAGTACTCAAGGTTTTTTTGTTTGATTTGATTTTACTCTTCTTTGGTCTTCACAAGTAGAGCTTGCTCTCAGGCCTCTGCAGGTATTGCCATGGTTTGAGAAGGAGCAGGTCAGCCAGCAGTGGGGAAGCTTTGGATTAGAAATTTCTTAGAAAAGCTGGGTGCGCTCGTGGACGTGATGAAGTTCACCCAGTTGTGCTGAAAGAGCTGATGAGCCCCTGTCAGTCAACTCTGAAAAATGATCGTGATTGGGAGAGATTTCTTTTGACTAGAAAGATGCCAACATGATGTGTACCTTTTAAAAAAGACAAGAGGGTTCAGGAAACTATAGTCAGTCAGTCTCGCCTTAGTCACGTTGTTCAACAGCTTCATTGGTGATAGAAGGGGATTTGCATGTGACATGAGATTAAGGGGTGTGACTGGCACAGCACACAGGAGAACACCACTTCTGTGGGACCTTGACAAACTTGGGAACTGGACTAGCAGAAACATTGTGAAGTTCATGAAGTGCAAGAATTTGCACCTGTGATGGAATAATCCAAGGCATGAGTCGCTGCACTGCTGCAAAAGATTGATGAGTTACAGTGAACTCTGGCTTGAATATAAATCAGCAGTGTTCCCTCATGGCTTAAAAGATGTTGAACTGTTAGAAGGATAATGGATGGTAGATCTGGGGAGATTACTTGCCCCCTTACTTAGTGCTGGCAAGGCCACATGCAATATTGTGTCCAGCTTTTGCTCTTCSATTTCAAGAAGGGTGTTGAGAAGCTGCAGCTGGTCCAGCAGACAGGTCCCAAGGTGATTGGGCTGTAGTATTGGTGTTCCATGAGGAAAGGGAGCTGGGTAGTGAGCAGGGTAAGGAGCAGTTACTGGTCTGCAGCAACTGAAGTGGCACTAGAGGAATGACAGAAATCGACTCTTCGCAGTAGAGACAGGCAGTAAACTGAGGGGCAGTAGGCACAAATCCTGGCTTGGGAGGTTCAGGTTGGAGTTGAGGAAAACCAGATCCACTAGGAGGATGATGTAGCTATGGAAGGGGRTCCCATAAAGCTACAGAATCTCCATCATTGGTAGATTTCAAGACTTTTGTAAACAAAGCCACGGCTGACCTAATATCATGTGGGTAGTGGCCTCAAGTGGCCTCATTTCAAGCAGGGTTATCTTTCAAAAGGATTTCTGTGATTCCATGATTAAAAGGGTTGGTTTGTCTTCATCAGAGTTTATACATAGGTAACCTCTAGGAACATGTTAAGTGATACAAGCAAGGAAAAGGGTTATTTAATAGTCATTTCTGTGTACTTTATAATCAGCAAAACAGTTTTCTTTATTAGCCCAGTATTTTTTATTGCTTTTCTTTATTTGTATTTTTAATTGCTTTTTTTTTTATTTGTGTTTTTTCTTTATGAAGCATTGTGCATCACTGTTTTGTTCTGGCAATAGTGTGATGATCTTAACTTTCTGTAACAAGTTGCTACAGTACTGAAAACAGTTCACCACTGAGTTTCAGAATCCCTTATGAAGTGGTCTCTGTCTAAACAATCAGTTAGATCTCATCTTTATTTTCATAATTACATTTTCTTGTAGCATTTTGGAAAATAAACCATTTTGCTTACTTTTTTTTTTAACCTTTTATATAATCTTTATTGTATTTTGACTAAAACTTTGAAGTCTGGTTATCGTATCTACATCTTTATGCCTGATTTTGGATTTTTTGTCTAGCATTGATTAGTTACTTCTCGACCTCATTGAAAGCAAACACAAGTTACCAACATAAGATTTTTGGAAGGCTCTCCTAATGGAGAGCCTTCCAAATGAAGATTACATGGTCAGTAATTATAGGTTTTTTTATACATGATAAGCAGTCGAGTATTTTCTTTGCCTAGGATTTTCTTCTCCAGATGTAGTCCAAGAAGGGATCCATTGCAATAGGAATAATTGCAGTGGGAATAGACTATCCCACTAAGGACTTTTTTGCATATTTATTTCCATCTTGGCCCCCTCCCATGTGTGACAATGATACAGTTGTCTTTTTTGTCGTTTTCTCTGTATTTAACTGCATAAAGTAGAAAAATGTAGGAGCTTWAAAAGCTATTAGTTTCATAGTGTTGTGGGTTTTTTTCTTCATGCCAATGTAACTCAAAGCTGTCTTTAAAGGAAATACACTGGAAATGAGACAACAGGAGTAAATGAAATAAAAACGAGTGTAAAACCTATGCTCTCTAAATATTTTCTCTCTTAGCCTTTCACAATAATATATATTTTACATGCATATATTTTCTTTGCTTGCCTGTTATCTTTCTGCTTCTCTCTGTCTAGCATAAAGAACATCTCTTCTTTATATTTCATCATACCACTTTTTTTCAATARTTTTTGTAATACTTTTATCTGCAGACACTCCATTAGTTTCCTCTAAATAATTGCTTAGGAGACAGTTCATTTTTTCAAATAAATCAAAACACTGAGAACAAACCTATTGGAGTTTATTCTTGTTATTTACAGGTAAAGACAGGTAAAAAAAGCTGTTTTGAAAATGCACAAATTTAAGAAGAATGTTTCAAGAGTTACCTGAAATTTTTAAACTGAGGATGAATATAGAATACCTTACTGAGCAGTCATGTGTTTAATTAGTGTTTAGATAGCATGTTAGAAGCGGTCAGAACACCTCCATATCTCTTGCTACTGGTATTAGGAACTGCTTTTTTTCCTCTGGAATGTTCATCCCATTGCCTACATTTGTTTTTCAGCTTGCTTGGGAATATGGAATGCCATTTTTTGAGACCAGTGCTAAAGAAAAYGTGAACATTGAGCACGCATTCTCAGTCTTGACTAAGGAAATCCTGGAAAAGGTAGGCTTCTTTTCTACGTAGAGAGAAAGTGGGAGATTTTTCTTGACAGATTGGGTAAACAAAGTTCTGATTCCAGAATAGTTTTAGCAAAGCACAAACAATGCTGGTTTTGCATTATGGAGTTAATACATAGSGGGGATCCTGTAGCTGCAGGCATACAGACGAATAACAAGGGGGAGAAGAATTGTGGAAGAAGAGGCAAGTGGGTATAATACAGTTCAGAGAGAAAGTGAAAATTCGGGAAAACTTCATTTATGGCTTTATTTCCCATGCTTTTCTTTAAGGGTGTGGTTAACAGTTCTAGAGTAGAATCACCCTAGAGTAGTACCATTTTTATGCCAGGAAGATTCCTTTTTCCTTTGGATTTCTGCAGTGTGCATACAGTGAGGGTGCTTCATGCTGATGGAATCAGTGGAACTTTTATGTTCAGTAGTCAAATGTTTTATCCAAGATTCATAGCTGTTTGTTTGGCTGATTTACACTAGTGCTTTAGAAATTATCAGGACCTAAAGAATTCAGTTAATTAGTGGTAGTATCAATATTGTAGCTGTCAGAGTCAGCATCTCTAACTTGAGTGTGTTGCCTTAAAGGTCCTTACTCCCCAAAGTTGCAATCCTTTTGTAGGACTGAATTATTGTTCATTAGCTCTGAAAATGTTTTGCATTGCAATTTATTTTGAGACAGTAGAATATTATTTTAGACATTAATAGATGTTCTTCATGCAATGCAATATCAATGCCATTCATCACCRATATTAGTTATACAAAACTAACCTTCCACTCCGAATGCTCTTGAAGTCATAATAAAGATAAATGAGCAAAATTACTGACAAAGTCACAAGTAGCAGTGTTTTGATTAAGTAGCCATAGGGAGTGGTCAGAATAATAGCTCAGGGTTGGACTGCTTCTAAATCGGGGTCTTGTCATACTACATAGTAACACAAGCAGTAGTTGGTTATTTTGGGGGAGGATAAAAAAAGGAAAAAAAAAATTTCAGTTACTTTAACATGAAAATGAGGCTCAGCAACAGAACAGTYAAATATTGTGTAGAACAGGAGGATAATGGCAGGCCCTGAATTACTGAGCTTGTTAGAAAAAAGTCTCAAGTAAGATAATTCTGATTTTGTTGTAAATGAAAAAGACATTGTCTACCATAAATAGAGAATATATTGTTAGTATGAAACATGAAAACTACAAAACAATAGCTATGATCAAAACTGCTGCGAAGACAAATATGTGTGAAGCGAGCATTTCTTCAGAGTGTATTTGGGTGATATCTAAGAGATTTCCCTGCACATGCAGAACTGATGTTTGGGTATTTTTCATATTAAGATTGCCTGCACTGATTTCACTRTAAGTTAAACTAGAGTATTCCTACTCAGCTTCATGAAAATTCATGGGTTTTGTAGTGTGGACATGGCAAATAAATTCAGACCACGTTGAGCATTTTGTACTGCTACTTGRTTTTAATTAGAACTGCTTGAAACAGTTGTATGTTCTGCATGTATGTGTGTTTGGAAAATGTGCCCATGGGAATTTGTCATATTTGCCTGTAGTAATGTTTCACCTTAGCTAAAAATGTTTGGAATCCTGATGAGGCATCATGTACCATTACTTTGGTGTATAATTTGTCATTTTTAGTAAAATACACTTGTTGATTTAAGCAAGACCCCTTTTAGCCCAATTGGGTTTACCATTGGCCTGATAAGAAAGGGTTTGCAGTGAAAAAAAAAAATCTATCATAGAGTTTCATCATGGTTTTCAGGTTCRACAAAATAATTTGCCTGTTCACAAAACTGTGAAATCTGAATGTAGTACTTGAATTTTAACTTCCTCTGACTGATGAAATTTTGGAAAAGGGAAAACGCAGTAGGAAGTGTGACTAGTAGCTGTGAAAAATGACATGATAGATGCCAGTCTGAGATCATTTCAGTCATACATCCATTTTGTAGTGATGAAATAYTGTAAAAAAGAGATACAGATTTGCAGAGTATTTTTGCCTAAGGTACCTATGATGGGGATTTCCAACCTTCTTCTACGGTAGGACCACCCGTCCCAGACTGATGAGATGCTTCAGTGAAAGTATGTCATTGCTTTTCCAGTCCCACAGAAACAGTCCCACTGTTCTAGGGAGTTCCTTACAACAAGTTTAAGGAACTCCCTAGAACAGTCTATTATGGCCATCCTTTTTGGGAAGTACATGAAGCTTATTTAGAGGTAAGGTAAATAGCAGGACRGGCTGGCAGGCAGTAGACCATTCTCAGATGCATTGCAGTAAACTCTATTAATCTGAGGAAATCTAGGACTTTTTGTGTACACTCTTGCTTGCCATCTGCTATGGACATTTTTTTATTAACTTAATCTACACAAAACACTCCTATAGACGAGGAAGATCTATGTCCAGAGTTATAGAGTTCATACACAAGTACTAAGCTTCGTGATTCTTTTGAAATTTAGAGYAAGTTGTGGTTCAGTGGTGGAAAAAAAAATTAAAAGTTTCTGACATTTAAACAAAACAAAACAAAAAAGGGCAAGTATTTTGGTGTATTGTCACTATTTTGTGCTGCGTTTTCCCGTCTCTTCTTTTGCAGTTTTTTTTTTGGAGTGGGCTTAAGGGGGAGAGAAGACTTCCATATCCCTGTRATGTGGATCACTAAAGTGCAGCTTGACCTTTCAGATACTTTCCATCTGAGCAATTCCATACTGGGTCTTGGTCCTGCAGCTCTAATTTAAATGGGCAGCCTCATTAAAACCATCAGATGTTTTTTGAYAGCTTACATTGGTAATTGCTAAGAAGTCATGCCATATATTGAGAACTCACAATTTGCGAACCAATCAGTTATTATTAATAATTATTAATATTAATATAATTATAATAATTATAATTATAATTATGATTATATACTGAATGCAGTACTTAAGTTATAACTTCCTCTGATGAATTTTTGGAGAAGGGCAATAATAACTGATAGGATTGTATTTGCAAGGCTGTAGTGAAAATAAATGTTAATGACACAGATTATTCCTGGAGTTTGCTTAGACATGTTGACAAATAGTAGTATTTTACTTATTCACARTTCTTATGAATCTCAGATATGCCTAAACCTGTTCATTAATAGATGACAGCTGTTCTTTGACAATGCTTCTGGTTGCCAGTGAACTATTTGTACTTGTGAGTCAGTCCTCTAAAAACAACCAAAACCAAAAGAATACCACCCAGAATGCATTTAGCGTTTGCTYTTTTGTGTTCTTTGGTTCCATGCCYGACAAGCAGTAGTGTTCTCAAGTAGGTTTTAAACAAGAATATTTCAAGCCTTTGTGTATGTCCTTATGGGTGTGATTGTTGTATTTTTCTAAAACTAGGATCAGGAGTGAAACTTCATTAAAAAAGGGAAAAAAAAAGAAGTTATCACCTTTTTCTGAAAACTGCAGTRAAACTAACCTAAACTTACGTTCTACCTACCTCCCAAGAGTGATTGACTACCAAGATTATTTAAMTCATATTAAATAAACATATATCTGCTGAGTAGAGAACAGTGAAAATCCATTTAAGGCCTTGCCCTGTGCTGTTGAGAGTAACATTTAATGTTTAACAGCTGGATGTCATTTGAGATGAACATTCAGAAGTAGCAAGCCTCAATTTTGCCCTTCCTTCATTTCTATACGTTTCTTTACTATGGCAACAAGATTTTTGAGAGTATACTGTGTTTGCTATTCCTTTGCTACTAAAGTACCTTTGGAACTTGTTARCTGCTTTTAAACAAATTTGACAGGTCAAATCAAAAGATAATTAAGTTTCTGAGTAGTTCCTTGAAAATAAGGTGAGGGGCRCAGTACTCTGCGGAAGGGAAGTCTCCAGCATTAGTTCATACACTATTAGAGACCAGGACATAGAGATATTGAAAAATGCTTCTGCCAGCCACTCCAGCTGGAACTTGCATCACAGATATCAAATTTAATTCACTTCAAGACCCAAATCCATAGGAAATGGATTTCATTATTGCTGAGGTTCATGGAATTGTTAGTTTGTCTAAAAGATCCCTGTGTCTCCAGCAGTGCATAGTTAGTGCTTCTTTATTATCCTTAGTCATGYATGGAGCCCCAGGCTTTATTTGCTCTTTATTTATCTTGTACTGACCACAGAATATTAATTCCTTTGAGAGGTTTTTCATAATGCTTGTACTGCTGTGCTTTAAATCCATTTTAGATTTTTATCTCCTTCACTTTCTTAGTAACATTAGGTTGTGTATCCAGGATTGCACATGGGGGCACTGAGGTACAGAGATTAAAGCAGAGGATAAATGGTACCAACTCACTTGGTGCTAGWGCAATGTAAGGCATAATTAACTACACTATCTTATTCAATTTTTTTTAAGTCTGTTATGGACATTGAATGAGCCAGATACTCTTCTGGAAACAATAGTATGTAATTAGGTCATGTAAATCAAACTTAATCACAACATCTGTGTGGTAGGGCATGAGATTCATCTTAGCATGCAACCTTAGCCAGATAAAATTTGCATGACTGGTCTGGTTGTCTGGAATCATCTCTATTCAATGGAAAGAGATTAATCTTTAGGATTAAATTGTGTTTTGGAGTTGCCTTTTTCCCTCCATTGATTATAGAGGCCTCCGTATCTCAGCCTGTGTGGTTTCATAGAATTCAAATTAAATAAATTACACTCCAGGAGACCAAAAGAAARCTACAGACTTGGCTTACTTTTGGCATTTGCTGCTTCTGCTTCTGACTTTGAAGACACATTGCTCTCTTAAATAGTGTTTTTATGATGCAACTATATTAAACCTCCGCTAGATGATCTGTGGGGTTGAGGAACCACACAGGAGATCCRCATCTGTCTTCTGAAGTTTGTGAAATAACTAATTGCAGTACAACATTGTTATAGTCTGCATGGTAGTAACAGGAGAGGGAGATAGAGCCTCATGCTTTGCCAGTGGCTTAAATGTTGTAGACATGGTGGAATAGRAGGCTTTGGGAGCAAGATCTTTGTCAGCATTTCTTGAGGAACATATTCAGCAGCAATTAGATCCTAATGTGCCAGACCTCACATCCTCCTCTCCTGCTCCTTTCCCTGTTCCCACAGTGATTGCCTTSCCTGCTAATATATCCCTAACCCTTGCTTAATACTGCTTGTGCCATGTCCAGCCCATTGTGATTGTGAGAGTACTCTCTTGCATTTTGAACAGGTAACAGAATATAAGGAAAATACATAGAAAGTGTTGGGGCTCTTAACAACTGAGCTCTCTGTAATGGCAGCTCAGGCACAGAAGTCACGTGGACTTGGTTGCACAAAGTTCTTTGCCAGTCTTTGTAAACTCTCACTGTTAAATATAAACAAAATTATTGCAGTAATTAAGTAGGATCATTTTGTAACTAGAATAAAAATCCTCAAAATTAAAGAAGTTTAAATAATAGTAACCTCAGTTACAGTGCCTTCCATTTGTTTCTCTAAAGCTTCTAATTATGCAGCAAGCRCTCCAGGTCTGACATTGACTGGGGACATGATATAGATAAAGCAAAATCCTGTTGTTCTTTCAAACCCACAGTGAGCCCCACCTTCAAAATAACTAAACCAGTATCAAAATACCAAGAACAGGTGCTAGAGAAGGTGAATCCAACCTGGTATAACACCATTAATCTGAGTCGTTTTTCAGCAAGGAATGGGCAGCTGAGCTTAATGAAGATTTATATATTTACTCTATCAGAATCCTTTCAAAGATGTGTTGGGGGTTATTTTCATTACATTTTCCTTGGTATACAAGCTAGCTTTCTCTCCTTGATTTAAAAAAAAAAAAAAAAAAATCAGTAACTCAGCCATCTCATCACAATTCCTGTGTCTAGGTATCTATCTCATGCCAGTAATACACACTCTGCTTAGAAGTGGGAAGGAGAGACAGCCAGGAGGGGAGTTTTATGCAGGAAGTTTAAAACTGGCTTGAAGAGATACTTGCCAGTTAGGTGAGACATGTCTGCTGTGCTATTTAACAGGAAAAACTAGTATTTGATAGCAGGAAGTTTCAACATCTTACTGAAATCATTGCAGGATACAGTGGCATCTCTGTCTGTGGCGGTATTTTCAAAACCCCACTTCACCCAAGATACCAAACTGGAAACTCCTGCTTCTTGGTACCATTTTGTTTTTTCTCACCTTTTCCCAGTTTTTTGCTGTTTGTTGACTTACTTGTGGGCYACTTGAGCTACAAGCTGAGCTGAAATTTGAGCTGGAAGTATTAGTGTTCATGGAGCCCTGAAGGAGGAATGCTGCCTGCCTTGTTCTCACAGGTGGGAGAGATTTGCATACCTCCCTGCTGGAATTTGGGAAGAGGGGGTGCCCCACCTCTTCCAAGGCTTGGCTGAGGTTGAGCGCTACGTGGGATTGCCCAAATATGATCATTGCTTCAGTGCTTTATGCAGGACTTGTTATAACTCTTTGGATTATGAATGTGCACTTTTTAAATGTGTGTGCAGCACATTTGCTTRAATGGAGCCCAGACCCTTATTTGACCCACAAAGACCCTGTATAGAACAGTCTTGCAAACTAAAGTGATTAAGAGTCCTTAGCTTTTAAATGGATTTTAAAATGGCTGTTCTTTATTTGTGGAGTGGTGCTTCTTGTCTTTCTGTCCTGGCTAAGTTGCTGATGAACTGTCAAATAATGATTTTACAGGTTGTTGGATTATCAAATATGTTTCACATTCTTAATTACTTAACAATACTGAGGATCCTTGCTAAGGATACATCAACAGCTTACTAACCACCCCAAAGTACTATTAAGTAGTAAAATGCTAAGGATGCAAATAAGCATCCTAAGTGCTTAAGCAAATGTAAGTTTCTCCCCTTTGACTGAAAGCATGAAGTTTGATCTTGACCTATAATCTTCAATATCTTCAAATTACTGGTTTCCTCTGAGTAAGTGAAACTTGAATTCTGAAACTGTTCAAACAGGGATTTTTCTAAAACCCTTATACTACTTAAGCTGTTTTCTTCTCAAGAAAAAGCAGGGGTGAAACAAAAACTATTTACTTGATGTCCACAACAATTAATGCTTAATGCTATTTCATGGTCTCAATTGAAATTCTTTATTGTACCATTATCTTCCAAAGCTTTGATTTTSCATTCAGAATCTTATCTCTAAACCAGAGTGGTATCTTGTTCCTTGAGATGACAAGGTTATGTTTGTGTACTTTTGMTTCTGCCCTTGCTTTCTCTTTTGAAAAGGTCTTCATACTTTAAATCTACTGTCTATGCTTGCAGACTACCAGATAGTATCTCTTCCTAGCAAAAATCATAATAACTAATGCCTGTACCTCCCACAACAGTGTAAAAAGTTAAAAATCAGAAGCTATGAAGTGGGAATTCTCAAGGTAATAAAGATGTTATGTCTCTTGGTTCTTACCACTCAAAAAAGAAATTAAAAAACCCAACAAGTAAGAGTGCACATTCTTCATTATGTGGAGAATTCATTATGGCAAGAAAGTCCTAAAATCAGTGAATCTCAGTCTTCTGGAACTCTACAGTCAGACAGTATTTGCTAATAATTTTACTGATGACAGCTTCAGCATCCATTCTGAGRTTTAGATACTATAATACATTTCCTGCCCTCTCCTCCTTCCTCTAGCCATCACTTTTGGTCCCTTCCCAGATGTTTCATCTTCTCCCCCCAGCATCATGCACTGTGGAAGCCTCCCTGGGTCCCTGCAGCCCCAGGGAGAAATGAGCTCAGCCACTCTCTTTGTGGGGAAAGCTCTGGCATTGGGCAGCCAGCGCTCTAGAAGAGCTGGAACTATGGCTAAAAAAAAGGAAAAAGGAAACGAATTTCAAATACCTTCTCTAGAATTTTAGGTAGTAATAAATATTTGCAGCCAAAGAGGCATAAAGCTTACTCGTAGCAGGGGAGTAAATTATATTTTGCCCTCATTCTGATGCAACCAAGTAATTTTAAGTGAATCTTTCTGGATGTAGTCAATGTTCAACTACCCTGACACTTTGTGTGTGTAAGTTTTCAAGTCTGAATCATGATTAGCCTTGTACACCATTATGCCTTTTATCCCTTCTTCGTTTATTTTTTCCTGTGCTTTGGATTTCATGAATTCCAGCTTAGATAGCTGTTGTCTCCAGAAGCTTCTCTTTATTGTCAGAAATGGTTGTTTATGGTTGTTGGGTTTGAGTTGAGAGAGGAATCTAGTGAATCCAGTGGTTGCATTTATTTCTCTGCACTTAGTTGGTAAACCTGCCAGGACACAGCAGGAGAGTGGCAGGTAGAGAAGTTTGGGCTTCTATTTTCCTGGGTGTGTGTCAATATTCTGTGTGTCTTTGTGCCCTAGTTCAGGGTCAGTGTTCATAGTTTCAGAGTAAAGATTGCAACATGTACTGCATTGCACAACTGGATTTGATTGTCTCTCCAGTCAGCACYAATTATCTAGTTGAGTTCGTTGCTGAAAGGAAGAGTCTTGGTTTTGGTGATTTTCATTTTTGTTATAATCTGCTTTTGCAATCAGTACAGAAATGTTTTACAGCGGTGGAGTGCTATTTCGATAGTTTTATCATGACAAAGATTGAACTRTTTTCATTTGGGGGTATTCCTGGTTATTAAATAGAGGCCAGAAAACAGAATTTTAGTCAATTTCAGAGAACAAATTAGTGTCCTTTATAACAGTTAATAGCCTGCGCCTTTCTTTCAGTGGGTACTGATATTCTGTATTTTCCTGTTCCTTTCAACTGAACTTTTTCACCCTATGCCCAATACTTCAAGGATAAGTGTACTTAAATTAAAATTAGCTAAAACTGATGTAGTCAACAGAAGAACTTGTTCAGAACAGTTCAGAACCTGTTCAGAACCTTACAGAACAGTTCATGTGAGTAAAGATTTACAGGATTGGCACATGTGGTTTGTAGTGTCTCCTCAAAAGACACTTTCTGTCACCTTTGGATTTAGGAGAGATGTTTGAGGCAGCTAAAGAATGTAAAGAAGGCAAACTGGGACTTGCGTGGGCATCAGTTTCTTTCTCATTTATTAGAAAACTTCAATCATTTAATTAAATATTCAAAGAAAAATATATCCAGTGACTCCACCAAACATTGTCCATTGAAGTATATGAAAAAGCAAACTTTTCAACTGTTGTGTTCTAGTTATCTTAATGGAGTGTTTGCTTTTGTTTGTTTTACAGAAATCCTATGTATTACATGACTTAGATGTTGTGAGTCTAAATGAGACTAAGAAGAGAACCTGCTGTGCATTCTGAGATACTGTTTCTTATTTCATTTTCTCTTCAGGAAGTATCAAGTGTTGCAAAGGAACATACAAACTTYTAAGTGAGCCTGTAATCCAAAAATACAGTGTTTAGGCATCCTTTGTATTACACAGACTTCGTTGCCAAATGTTTTTATAAGTTTATATTATATTTTCATATTTTTAATGCGAAGATGAAACAGTTTACCTGATTTTGGAATTATTAGATGTATCTCAGGTGACTGTGTTTGAATACRAATGTTTGCAGAAGTGAAATCTAAGTGTACTAATTTTCTGTTATTAAAAAAAACACCCTTCACTTTTGTGTGTGTGTTATTTATACCAGATTTGTAATATGATCAATATTGACAYGATTACAGAAGCAACCTTCTGATACATGAAATCATATAACATCTCTTTAAGTACCTGATATTTACTGCATTCCCTTAACACAAGTCACAGAGAATTCTTGGTTTGGTTTCTTTTTACCCATTTCAGAAACATGCAAGCTGCTTCAATAYCCTTGATCAGGGGCTCTGCAGAGGTTATGGTGAGAGAAAGGGATAAACCATATAAAAGATTGCTGTCACAGAATGGTTTGGGTTGCAAGAGAGCTTGAAGATCATCTAGCTTCAACCTCCCTAACATGGGCAGGGACAACTTCCACTAGAGTATGTTGCTGGACCTTCCAAAGAATTCAGAAAACATGGAACAACAGAATGCATACAGTATTAATAATAACAATCTTTCTGATAAAAAAAATTATAATGCCTTAAAATAATTTCTGCCAGTGTTAGCAGCATATCTGCATTTTCAAATGCAGGTATGTTCTTTTTGTCACAAATGTTCTTTTGTCAAAATGTTCTTTTTGTCACAAATGATCACAATAAAAGGCTTTGTTTCATCTTGTGATATATTTATGTTATTTTTTAAAGTATAAATAGAGGAGGTATCTGATTCTGCTCATTTAGATCTGTTTTATACTGACTTGTAATACATTTAAAATCCATGGAGAATATCTTATTTAATTTTAAACAAGGGCAGAATCAGGATGCTGGCTACTTTTCCTTTAATCAAAAGCAAAACAAGCACAACTCAAATCTGCAGGACAAGCAAAAAGCAAATATAAGTTGGGAAATCTGAAGAATTGTGGTGACTGTACTGTTTTTTTTTTTTTTCCTTGCATAGGAGATGTTGGTTGTTTTATCACCATTTGTGAATGAATAATGCTATTGTGCAGAATTGTATTTCGAGCCATCCCAKCACATCCAAAATAACTAACCCTACTGGCTTACTGTTCTGGAATGTCAYTACCCTCCTGAAATATGCTTGCTTCTTTTTTTTGAGGGCTGTTTGCAGATTGTCATAACATCAAATTATTATTCGATTTGGTATTGAGAAAGGGAGCTGAACTGGAAAATGCTCTCTAAAGCACATGGGACCACATGTGCCTGARCCTACTGCCAGGTCCATGTGTCCCTAGCCCGATTAGTGTGCCTGCAAAAACAGTGCAAAACCATGGGCTGGGCTGTGTACTTACAGCTGCTCCTGACTACTCATCATGGCTAGCCACTAGAGCTAGTGTTTATCAAAAAATCTGAAAATAAGGAACAAAGGATAATCTCTGCCTTCGTTAAAACCATAGCAGAGGGAGGAAATAGTGCTGGAAGGGATTTTGAGWGTCTGTCTAGGTTCTCATCATATCTCGATCTCTGATCAGCTGCCCCTGATGTAATGCAAGAAGATGATCAGGGACCTGCAGTGGTAAAGGATTTCAGAGTGTCTCTGAGTGGCAATGAGTCCTTATTTAACTGGTTTGGCAAGGAGAAAATTTTCTAATACCTAACCTAAACAAAGTAGGTTCTCCCTTTCCTCTTGRTGTAGGTTCCTCTGCCTCCCCTTCCCTCCCCTGCTCTCCTGAGAACTCCTGACCTTCCTACCCTCCCTTGTGGCTGGGTTTTTCAGAATCTTTTGCCCTTTTGTCTCCCTCCACTTGAGGTTCTTGAGTTGGTTCTCAACCATCCTGGACTGTAGACCTGAAAACTGAGCAGACTATTCCAGTTTAAATAAAAACATTTGGATAGATTTAAGTTTTTTTTTTTCATTATCTTATTTGTGATACTCCTATTTATGCATTACAGCATCAGCCTAATGTATGGTAGCCTGGCACTGCCTGTGATCCATAGAACTGCCTTTTTTATCCTGCTACGTACTTGTGCAGTTGATTATTCCTTTGGATGTGTAAAACGTGCTGTTTCTCCTTGTTTGGTGGCATTTCATTTGCTCYARTCTGCCAAGATCCCTCTGAATTGTAATGTGCTCCAACATAGTTGGAGCTTCTTCCTACAGAAACGGTCTCCAAATATGTGTACTCTGTTCAGTCATCAAAGTTATTGATRAAATAACCAAGATGGATCTAAGTGAAATCCTGTTCAACATATCCTTTCAGCTTTGGAGTACTAATTATTTCCAAATAATGTTGTATTCATATTATGTGGACTGTTTATTTAGGGATTTTTTGTTAAGAGCACATTAGAAGAAACTCTTAGTATCCTCAGTCTTTCTCCCCCATACACAAAGCCTGTTTAAACCTCTTTCTTTTTAGTAGAAATCCACTTGATCACTTGCTAGAGGTGTTTCTTTCCCTCCTTTGAGAAAGATGCACTCCCTTTTGGGTTTTCTGGAGCCTCATTCTGTTGATTCTTGGAGATAATCAGAAGCAATTCTAACATAGTCTGAACCATAAGGGAGTTTCATTAGATCCAGTCTTCCAAAAATCTTTCACTTACCTATGTACCTTGCAGTTTATTCATTCATTTTTCTAGCCTTAGACTTTTGTCAGTGCTGCTAGCAGTGAAATCACATTTGCCTTCTAAAATTGAAGGCTGAGGTTAAAAGTATCARCATCACCAGTGATGATTGAGATCCCCCTCTATGGAATAACAGACCAGTTTTTTCCTTAGTATTCTCACAGTGCATCTTATCAACATGCTTGCTATCTTTAAAATCCAGTTTTGTAACGTTCTGGGACCTTATCTTTCAAGTTTTGTCCATACATAGTCTATGTATTTATTAATAATTTAGTAATTTGACCTACTTTCTATTTTCTTTCAAGTCATTGAAGATCTCATGATTCATCCAACTTAATCTTTATCTCACTTCCTTCCCCTGCTCTGTAYAGATCAAATTCTGCAGTTTTGCCTTTCATCAGTGGATCTCTAATGAACTTTCAGCTGTCCTGAACTCACAGAAGTTCAGCTATTAGTTCTCTGGGTGTAAGCCTCCATGTCATTTCTTCTTTTTCTGACAATGAAAATAGATTTTAAAAGGGTCATATTAATTTGTAAATTTGATTTCTTTATAGCTAATGAGAAGTATAGGAATTTCTTTTTTTTCCTTCTTGTAGAGTTTGCTAGTACTTGTGTTTAGGCATGATCCAGTCCCAGCCGAGGGAGATGCAGACATTCRGGTTCCCATGCAGGATGCTAACTCMTGCTAGCRCATGCAGTRTGCTTCACCTAACCCTCCATGAGCACCATGAGTGCTCTCCTTTTCACATCTGGAGCAAAAGAAATGCCTTTTTCCAAACATACTCGTTGTAGACTAAGGGAGTGTGGTACTGGGGAAGAAAAACACCACTCTCACTAGAAAGGGCCARAAAAGGCTCAGGCTGGACATCAGGAAYRATTTCTTCATGGAAAGGGTTGTTAAGTAGTGGAATGGACTACCCAGGGAGGCRKTAGAGACACCRTCCCTGGAAGTRTTTAAGAAATKACTGGATGTGGCACTCAGTGCTGTGGTTTAGTTGACAAGGTGGTGTTTGGTCAAAGGYTGTGCTCGATGATCTTGGTAATCTTTTCCAGCGTAAATAATTTTGTAATTCTGTGATTCAGAGAAGTATTTAGGATCTGATTCTGAAGTGATCACTACATCTTCTGTGRTATCCCACTGGACTTGTAAATACTTATTAGGAAAATAAGGCCTTTGATATAAAGACAAATCATGCAGGAACAAGGAATGCAAATTGATAGGGTTTTTTTAAAAGGAATACCAAAGGAATTCAAATTGATAGGGCTTTTTTAAAAGGAATTCAGTGCAAACTACACTGTAAAACATGTTACCAGACTCATACTAAAACGAGTTTGTTGTAAACAGTTCCTTTTCAGATGTTAGCACAGATATGAACTGATGATGATCTGAAATGTTTTAAAACTAATGTTATTGGCAGTGGAATAAATATATACTACAGATTTTACAGYCTGCTGCATAAATGTGTTGTGAAATCAACGTGAAAGTCAATTCAAAATGCATTTAACAATAATTTCAGGAGTTGTTATCCTGMGTCCTTTTGCTGCTGCTTACGGTTTTATGGCAAGAATTTGCTGTTGATTCATAAAGACTGTCTCTGAACACCACCTGGAAGGCACCTAGGCAAAAACTAAGATGTTGTGTAACTGAGGCCCTGGCCCTAGGGTGGATTTGCTCTTCAGGTCTGGTGTCTTCATTAGCATTTTGCCCCAGTAGGAGACTGCTAAGAGATCACACTAAGGCATTGCTAGACATCAGGAAAATTATCTGTAAAGTGTTAATTATACATAAGGTGCAGTTAAAACAAGAAATTTCTGTTATGTGCWAGTGATTTGAATGCCATTTATGTAATATTAGCATAAATTCCAAGGARGTAGAGCTGTAGTACAGTTAGGACACATAAAGTGACTTTGAGAGCAGGTACAAGACATTTAAATACTAATGARTGTTATGATGTCTCTGTCTGGAGACAATTGAATGAAATTGAGATAGTATCTAGAAGTTACATTTTTTAAAAATGCACATTGTTTAAGAATGGGCTGTGTTTTCACCGGTTGGAGAGAACACAAACACGGTTATGGGAATGCAGATTWAAAGGCCATAGGACATCTAGTACAGAAGAATGAAAAAATGTTTCAAGAAAAATCAACAGTAACTATTTCTGTGCGGAAGATGCTTTTCTTCCCAGACAGCAGAAATGCATGATGTCTGAGAAAAGCATATGCTGTGAGATGGTATCTATCCTGGAATTAATGGTACCCAAGATGTGTTTAAGAACAATTCCTGACAGACTAGTGCTTCAAGTCCTGATGAATCTCAGTCTGATCGGATCTGCTTTGCTTTACATACTGCACCTGGAAACCTCATCAAACCTGAATGAGCTAAACCCATGCTTTCCATATTTCAGCAATAGTGCCCTTAGCAATAGTGCTCAAGTTCAGTGATAACACAAAGCTGGGAGGAGTGGCCCTTACCCCAGAGCCTGTGCAACCCTTCAGAAAAACCTTGACAGGTGGGAGAGATGGGCAGAGAACTGCCTGAGGTTCAATAAAGGCAAATGCAGGGTCCTGCACCTGGGGAGGAATAACCCCAGGCACCAGCACAGGCTGGGGAAGGACCTGGGTGTCCTGGTGGACAATGAGCTGTCCATGAGCCAGCAGTGTGTCCTGGGGGCCAGGAAGGCCAATGGTATCCTGGGCTGTCTCAGGAACAGCATCACCAGCAGATCCAGGGACATGATCCTGCCCCTCTGCTGAGCCCTGGGCAGGCACATCTGGAGCGCTGTGTCCAGCTCTGGGCTGTGCCCAGTTCTCAGTACAACAGAGACCTGGAGCTCCTGGAGTGGGTYCAGTGAAGTGCAACAAAGATGGATGAGGGACTGGAGCATCTCTCTGATGAGGACAGGCTGAGGGATCTGGGTCTGTTCAGCCTTGAGAAGAGACTGRGGGGACTTTATCAATGTCTGTAAGTACCTAAAGGGAGGGTGACAAGAGGATGGAGYCAGGCTCTTCTTGGTGGTGCCCAGCAATAGGAAAAGAGGCAATGGGCAGAAACTGGGGAACAGGAAATTGCACCTGAATGTGAGGAAGAATTTTTC